ATATGTATGTATGTATATATTGCTCCTTAAAGTTCCCCAAGGTGGCCTATTCTAGTATGAAGTTATGACCTACATGCCAATTTTAGTCATTATTATCATATAATTAGCTGTTTGTGTGTTTGTCTGTTAGCAAAATATCTAATGTATCGGGGTAAAGATTTGAATGACACTTCAACGAAAGTCATTGTCACAGCTAATGTAACTGACCTCAGCAAACACAAAAATATCTAGACCTATTTTTAATTTTTAGACTTAAATTTGGTGTGGTAGTAGCTGAGAGTCATCCCCAACTCATACTGTGGTTTTAGCAATAATTAGTTGCATGAGATCCTTGTTTTTGACATTTAGGACGGCAGGTGTTTTTACTTATTTTAAAGGTCAAAGCATGATATTTTATTTAGACAAAGCTATTTAAATGATTTAGTTTTGCCCATAATCAAACTAGTAACCAAAGCCGCTGCTGTTTGACAGATGTTAAACTGATGTTTCTTCTTCTTTTTTGGTGTTTGTTTAATCATTGTAAAAATAAAGAAAACGTTGCTTTGTTTTTAATTGTTAAACTTTGTGAGGTACTATCTTAACTAATAAGAAAATAAGATAAGATTACACTTTGTTGATTGCCAGTTTTACAATGTTGGTGTGTATTTATACCATAGTTGACTAGTGTTTACAGTAATATTAAATGTGCAAATGAATAATTAGACTCTGAAAACACACCAGTTTTTTCATCTTCAGGTAAACACAAGATTAACACATGAAAATCTCATCTTTTTGGGGTTATGTTATACAAATAATTTGAGATGGCATTAATTTAACACATTTCTGCACTTTTTGCATTGTAATCGGTCAAAAAAGTAATTATACTCTGAAATAATTGTGTCACCAGTTATTTAAAACCTGCAGTTGTTTTTATTACTTCACCATAAAACAAGTTGTTCTGGGATTAGATTGTAAATTGTACATTATATAATCTCTTACAAAAACCAGGATCCTGCACATTCATTTAACTTTTAAACAGATGTTTGAAGAAATAATAATGATGTTCACTGTCTTTAAGTTGGATCTTAGTATTTGCTTTTGGCAGACAAAGAATATAAAGTAAGACGTTGACGTTTTAGAGACAAAGTAAGCACAAAGAATAAGTGCAGGCGTTCTGTCAGACACACCGACAGGGACGCAGGAGGGGTCCTAAACTCTGTGTCTCTAGTGCTGAGGACCCCGTGTTCTGACAGACGAACAACGTTGGCAGGGATCTCAACATTAACAGCTTGCACACAAATGTGCACATGCACACACAAACCAATTAAGGAAAAATACCTGCAATTTTGTAGGAACATCACTAATGGGCGAGTTCCACCCTGGAGGACTTGGCTGTCGTTTTGTACCCTCTCTGACCTCCATTTCCCACCTCTGCTGCTGCCTCCTCCCTGCTCTCTGTCCCCCCAGTGCCTCCAGAGAAACCGGTCAATCTGACCTGCTGGTCCCGGAACACCAAGGACCTGACGTGCAGCTGGGCTCCTGGAGGAAAGGGGGAGACTAACATCAGCACACAGTACAAGCTCAAGTACAAACTCAGGTACGCATTACTGCAGAACGTACTTACTGCAATAAATCTGTCCCTTCTCACCAGCTCCAACATTATTATTATTTTTGATTTAGTATGTTAAAGAATTTGCTTCTTGGCCTTAAAAAGGATGCAGGGATCCTTGTGCAAGCCATTTAACTCTGAGCTCATCAACATGTCGTTAAATCTAACTTTGTACTTTATTCACTGCGACAACAGCAACACAAACACACGCCTAACGGGAAGAACAAAGGGCCTACGCGCCAACTCGTTGCTTTTCAATTTTGGCATGACAGCTTAAAAACGGGATCTAAAATGGAGTAAATAACTAAATTACAGAGTATCGGTATGTGTAAAGTACTTCAGAAAGTACGCCATGTAGTGAAGCACACGGGGCTTTTAGTGTAAACGATGAGAACAAAAATGGAAAATAAATTATACTTCTTTAAAGAGATAAAACATTACACTGCAAACATTCCTTATCTAAATACCATATGGATAATTTTTTGTTGTGTTTTGCAATACCGGCAATGTATTATTATTATTATTATTATTATTATTATGTGTACTCTCTTCTCTTTGTGGATGATGATGAGTAGATGAATGGATGGATTGACATGTTTTTGCGTTTAAGAAACATCAAAGTTAAATTTAAGCAAAATCAAATTGATCTTTCAAATTAAACCATTTCGACCAGTTGTAACCCAGCCAGCTCACTGGATCCAGATTTCACAATGAATTCAGTCAGACACCGTTTTGCTCTGTCCTCAGATGGTATGGAACAGAGAAGGAGTGTGAGGATTACAGTCACGCGCAGCCGTACTCCTGCAGCATCACCCAGGACCTGCACCTCTTCACGCCCTATGAGATCTGGGTGGAGGCCTCCAACCAGCTGGGCCGGGCCACCTCTGACGTCATCATCCTGGACATCTTAGATGTGGGTGAGTGGGAGAAGAAGCACACTTTGACCGTCCACATTTATCTTTAGCTCTTTGTGACAGCGTGACCTCGAGCTTTATTCTGGAACGATGGCTCGTCAACATCTTCAAAATAAACCAGATTCATTCCCGGTTATGTACTTCCTGCAAGTAGTCCGACCCGTTAAAATTAGCCTAATGCTAAAACAGTATTTTACCCGCTCCTTTGCATTATTATTTATTTGTTGTCTGGTTAAAACGAATCTGTTTGATTCTGGACCATGACACTTAACAGGTAAAGCAAATTTAAAAAAGTAAAACCCTCTTCAGAACTAGCTTACTGTCACTTAGCAATAGCGTGGCTAAAGAGCTCAGGAGATCCTGAACTTTCATCGACACATGAAGTTAAGGTTTTCAAATCCTGGCAAAAATAATATTGTACCATCAGTTTGGGGTTTCACAGCCAGACTAAGACCAGCAGCGAGGCTAATCATTTGTCAACTTACAACCTCCTAAACTAAGCTAAACATTTGAAAACTACCCTTAAACTGATTTAACTAATAAGACAGGGGCAATTTTATCGACACCAACTGTATTCAATGTGCAAATGAAGTGTTTTTAGTGTTGTTTGTCCAAAAGGCAGATATTTCTAGTGCAAAGTGAGTTGTTTCAGTGTTTTCTCCTGCCCCAAGGTAGCCTGGAACCACAGCACATTTTAGCCTCACATTGAAAGCTGATGCAGATCTGGTGTCAGTACGTTCATACTGCAGGCTTCACATCCAAACGCTGCTCTGACTGATGTGCACCTGGTGCCCGCGGAGGCTTTTAAAGTGTAGCAGTTGTTTGAAAACAGCAGTGACCATTGGAGCATGGTGCGTTCTGCTAAAACTGTTAGAACATAAATTATCTTTAAAAGATGGACGTGATCAAAAATATACACTTAGGACGAGGCTTGTAATTAAAGCTGAAAGCTGTCAAACACCAGTACATCGTCCACGACATGATGGTTTCTAAGAGTTTATGCTTTTTATTCCCACGTTCTTTTGAAAGTTTGTGGTCAAGCAGTCATGAAACCTTGAATTAAGTTTTAGTCTCCTTTCTTTTTGTTCAGGTAACAAACTTCCAAATATAGACATTTGCTTTAAAAAGCTCTTCATCAAACTGAGTGGATAAAGGTTATTTTGGGATCCTATAGCATATACAATAAATCCCAAAGGATAAAGCTGCAAGCTACAAAGATACCTTGTCCATCTCATGACCCCTCAGATTTAATCCATGTTAGTACCTGGAGTGGCTTTAGCTTCAAGACGTTGACGTTGCATTTCACGTGACGTGGTTCTCAGCCTCTGTGGGATTAGCACAGACAGGACTTGGGCTTCAGACAAGATTGCTCAAAAGAACTTTTCTGATTTTACACCGATAGGAGCTGAGCGGCATTCCCTTTTAAAGTTGCGTTATAAGGTCTGTTGCTTCGGTTAAAGCGGTTCAAGCAAAAGGAGCGAGCAACGAGCCCAAACTCTCTCTCCACGCCAGATGTGTGCCCACTCATGGACATGCCTACATCTGAGGGCGGCTGTGGCTGAGTGGTTAGAGCAGCCGTCCTCCAATGCAAGAGTTGGGGGTTCGAACCCCACAGCAGTCACATGCCGAAGTGTCCCTGGGCAAGACACTGAACCCCTCATAGCCTCCGATGTGTCCCATCAGTGTATGAATGTGATAAATCACTGATTAGTCTCTTTAGAATCATTTGTTCAATTAGCTTTGTAGAGATCTAGTATAGAGCTGTATGAATGGGTAAATGAGGCACAGATTGTTGTAAAGCACTTTGAGTGTCTCAATAAGATAGAAAGGTGCTATGCAAGTACAGTCCATTTACCATTCCATTTACATGTGTTCCCACCGTGTGGAAAAGCGTCTTGACGTGACTTTTGTTGCGAGCTGACGCCTGAAATGAAACGGGCATCTTGTCTGACAACAAGCTCATTTTCTCTTTACTCATGCTCAGTGGACACACACAGACTCACAAAGACTGTGGAATGTCTCTTGCTGATCCTCAAACCTAATCTTAACTCCAAGGCGACTGCAGACCCTGAGGCCAGACCAGTTTGGGCTTTGAGGCTTTCAGACGTGGACTTGAAATAACACAACCTGGTTAGCTTGGAAATCCTCATGTGACTCCCTCCCAGCACGCTCTGAACCTTTTTGGGAAAGGAATATTGAGTTTCTAGGGGGTGGACATGCCACGGGCGAGGAGACGAGCGTCCATCAAGCCGTAGTCTCTTTCTTCTTGCTAATGTATGCAATTGCACACCTGTATCCACACCTGGAGGGCAGGGCAGGGTCTCGTATGGAAACAGAGGGGCAGTCTGAGTGTGGGCAGGTGTTTTTCTGGGGCGGGGGATCTGCTTGTGTGAGCATTTTGTCTTTGTCTCGGTGACCCAGCCTTCCTTTTATTCCCACGTAAAGAAGCAGGTCATAAAGAGACCACGCCTGAGTCGGGCCACTGTGAGTCACATCCTCAGTCATGTGCAGTCAGTTCTGACGAGGAGGTAGAAACACCTACAGCTTTTTTACATTCCTCAGTCGTGGGGAGACGTAAGGATCGTCCAGACTAGAGGAAACTTGCATCGCCGTCTGACTCCGAGATGATGACGTGTCGAGCAGTGACACAGCACATACTATGATTCATAGATTTAAAGTTCACCGTCTTTGAGTGTGAATACATAGATTTTCCTCCGTGTACAGATTTTTAAGCCACACACACACAGAGCGATGGGCACGTGCACAATAATGTGGCCGACGCATCATGTTCCAGTCAGGAATGTGTTAGGGTGTGCTGGAGTGGTTTCCTTTGAGCTTTTAATTTATGAATTTGTGATTTTAAACATAACTAATTTAACCACATTTAGTTTGAAATGTTCAAATTTCATTTCCTGGTTCTGTCAACTACTTCTCTTCAAGTATTATTCCAGTTAGAGCACCTTCTTTAACAAAAGACGTACATCACTAGTTCACTTACAACACAAGCTCCAATATTCTGTTTTAGGAGTAAACAGTTTAAATATTTACCGTTTGACTTCATTATACACTCAAATAATCATCTTGTTTTTGTCTTTCCTTCACAATAAAAGTTTGCGTTGTTGTAATTTATTATTGGAACATGTGAACAATTCATTTCAAGTGGGTCAAATTAATTTTCCTTGATTGAAATGTTTTTTTAATCTTGTTTGAATGGACATCACATTTGTAATGTTGACATTTCAGTGAAACAATAGTGAAACTGAGGCAGCAGGACAGACGTGCTTAAACCTGGCAATTGATACAACTGGTTGTTTGAAGAATTCACATTAAAATGAGCTCAATTAACCTAGTTAAGCCAAAAATCTAAAATATTCAAATTCTGAGTCAATTCTAAATGATGCTGAGCTGAGTGATGAATTACTGTAGTTGCTTGGAATTATCTTAAAGTCTAAATCAGAAAGAAATTACAGATGTAACCCCGATTCTGAAAAAGTCTGGACGTTACGCAAATAAAATAAAATAAATCACCTGTGTACAATAATTTGCTAATTCCCTAAACTCATATTTAATTCACAATGGAACATATCAAATGTTCAAATTATGAAATTGTGCTTTTTAAAAACATATAAGGTCATGTCTTAGTAAAGTTAGGACAGGATGTTTAGCACCAGTTTAGCTCCGTCTGACCTCAGAACAGTTTCCCACGCTGCCTCGCTCCGTTTGGTCCAGAGGAAACACGGCACGGTGCTGATGCCTTCTCGTTCGCATGGCAGAACTTTCATGGCATCCAGTATCGATTTTCAACCTAGTCCCTTGAGCTCAAAGATGTCTTCAGATTCTTGAATCTTCTGATGATGCTATTTTTTAAAATATTTATCATTAACCTTTATTTAACCAGGCAAATCCCCTTAAGATCACAGATCTCTTTTGCAAGGGAGGCCTGGACCTGAAGGCAGCTTAAGATGCATGGTTTTGGACTGTGGGAGGAAACAGGAGTACCCTGAGAAAACCCAGGCAAGCACGAGGAGAACACTAAACACAGAAAGTGTTGGAGAATTTCTGTTATGAATATTTTCATTATATTGTGGCCGAGAACATCTTTCTGTAACGTGTGCACAAAACGTTCTCTTGTCTCAGTGTGAAGCCCAGTTCTCCAACTCACAGGGCCTCACTGGTGTTGACGCCATGAGAACATGCCCAGAACATCCTCTTATCTCCATCTGGAGGTCGACTAGCCAACGGCCATGGATCATGTGTGTGCGTCTGAGTGCATCTGGTTATGAGGGAACACCTGCTGCTGTACAAAAATCTGTAGAAAACTCTGTTTGACGCTCATTCAGTCACATGATCCATGCATTGTGTACCGTAGTTTTCGCTGTATAAGTCGCAGCTTTTGGCATAAATTAGCATGCCTGCGACTTATACAGCGAAGTGACATATTTATGTTTTTCCACATATTTTTGTGTGAGATCTGACGATTTCATTCATTCTGAAATGGAAAATATTGAACACTGCCATTTTCAGCCACTAGAGGGTCCTTGACTGATATGGCAAGCCAAGTGTCTCTTTAATAGGTAAAATTGGTTATTAATGAGACACTTGGCTTGCCATACAGGTCACCTTTGTCTCACTCCAGAACTCCTGGAGCAAACGTCAAATCAGCAGCATTTCGCCGCCCAGGTGAAATGCTGCTGATTTGACCATTAATGAAATGCAGCTGATTTGACCATTAAAATGCATTTATTAAGGAAAAGTTCAACTGTGAGACACATTTACAATAATTTTGAGCAAACAAATAATGGTTTTCAGGTGGTTATCTTGTTAAATTTAGAAGAAATGCACAGCGAGTTGTTCCTCTACGTGCTCCCGAAGCCACAAATCGGCTTTTGAAATGCATCTGATTTGACCGTCAAAGTGCATTTATTAAGGAAATGTTCAACTGAGACACACATTTACTATAATTTTGAGCAAACAAATTATTGTTTTTAAGTGTTAATCTTGTTAAATTCTTGTTAAAGTCCTCCTGTGCACACTCCCGCAGCTGCCATTTGACAACCAATCGATTTCTGGCACAACACCGGCCCATGTTTCTGAGTGATCAGCAGTGACGCATAATAGATTAGACCTTTATGGCAAAGGGACTTATTTATGGATTTGTCCACTTTATTAGACATATTTGGACTGATGCAACTTATGTGGCGGTGCGATGTGTACGGTGGCAAGTACGATATCTGTGTATGTAATCTGCCTTGAATGAGTCAAGTAAAACCAGTTAAAAATCATCTCCTGCCATCATGGTTCTTTTATTTAAACTAAATAGAGAATATTTTCATCCAACATTTTGGTCCTTCGAGTGCCGGCCCCAACATCTAACCTTGAACCTCCAGGCTTTGATCAGAACCGTGCACGGGGGAGATTTAATCTCCTTAACTGAAAGTCCTCAGGCTGGAATTGCTGAATTTTAGTGAGGCCAGATCGCTGTTGGTTCAAGCGAGGTGATGGGTGTCGACCAGTGAGCCACGCACTGACGCTGATTTTAATGAATATGGTGTATGGACGTCATGAAGGGACTTCTAATAAGTGTACCATGAAGGGGTACGCTGGGAGATCTGGGATCTCAGAGAGCGGTCATGGAGCAGCTTGCTTAGGAGAAATTCACCAAGGGAATTTCTCTAGTTATAGACCATGGAGGGGTTTATACTTTATGTATGTCATGGAGGGGTGTACATGAGATCGGGATCTCCAATGGAAAGCCACAAAGGGACTTCAGGTGGTAGTCGGGGGAGGTATGAAAAAGACAGTGTGTGGAGTGCTGGTTTCAAGGACAGCTTTGGGTGAGACAGAAAGATGCTGACCGCTCCTTGAAAAAGCAAAATAAAAATACAGACCCCAAGCCCAAACCGGGACTTTAATCCAGGACATTTTTGCTGCGAGGCAGCGGCGCCCTGTTGTTATGAACGGTATATGATGAGATTTTTACAGTCTTCCCAATTGTTCATTGACATTGTTCCAATATTTTTAGAGTCTGTGCTTTCCAGACTGGTAAACCTCTGCCCATCTTTACTTGTGACAGATTCAGCCTCTCTAAAGTGCTGCTTTAATTTAAAATCGCCTTATTTTCCCCCCTAATATAGTGCACATTTTTTAGTTTTAATATTTAGCATTATTGTGTTTCATTGTTTAACAAAAGGGATTTGAGATTATGAGCAAAGCTTTGCATTCTGTTTTCATTTCCATTTTGCACAATGTCCACACTTATTTTAAATTAGGGGCATATATTTGCAATTCACTAATATTTTTTTTCTGACACAAACTCAGTTTGTTCATGTTGTGCAAACTTGTTTTGTTCAAGTCTATCAAGCACATGTCTTGGTTGTTTTCTGAGTGTAACTGTATAGAGCAGAATTGACCAAATCGTTTTGTTTCTCTAAACTTAAATGTCTGCTGTAACATCTGTTTAGTGGTTCTGCAGTTACCAGTCATGTCACGTCACGCCTCCCCAGCTTTAGGCTTGACCCTCCCTCTTCTCCTCGCTCTCCATCACATCCTGACGAGAGTTTCAATGTTGTGTTTGGAAACCGTAGCCAAAAATAGCCGGTTACGAGTGAAAGGAGCGTATTTGGAAGATAAGATTGTGTATTAGATGACTGCTGCTGTGAAACGGATAATTACCGACAATTTGAAGAAACCACAACCTGTCTGTGTGAAGAGTGGGATCTTGGTTGTTCCACTGCAGACACAAGTATCACCTGGAAGGTGGAGATCAGCTACATTTAACATTTCCTTATAGCTGATAGTCGTGGTTTGATGAGTTTGATCCAGTTTTGCCAAAAAGTTTCTTTTCCAGACTTTTGTTCTTAAAGATTGACAGCTTATTGAAACCTGAAACAAAAGTCCTTAAAGTGACTTTTCCCTCTATTTTTCCATCTTCCTCCTGTTTTTATTTTTTAACTTAGTTTGTTTATGGATGTGATTGCGAGGAACATGGTAAAACATTTCAAAAGCCCGAACTAAAACGAGCACAACGTGAAGACAGTGGTCTGTCGCTGCACGTTTGTTTGTAGAAGAGATAATTATTGTCAGATGAAAAAGTCTTCGCCAACATGTCAAGCCATCAGAACCTTAGAGGCACCGAGAGACCTCCGCCAGAACCGAACCACCGATCCCTGCGCTGCGTTGCACATAAAGACACCACGAGCCTCAGCCGAGGTGCTGAAATACACCTGGGGGCGTTTTCTTGAATGAAAATGATGATTTTGGTGACAACAAATCCAAAGTTGACTAAAACTGGACGGAATCTTTTTACTCTTTGTTCTTTATTTTTTTTTCGCCGACGTCATTTAAAACCAAAAAGTGTTTCGTGGACAGAAAACAGAAACTTTCCACATCCCTAACACCTGCAACACATTCATTTAATAAAACACACGGAGTCAGCTCTGCTCGGGCTTTCTTAACGATGTGGTTCTGATGGTGATGAGCTTATTTATTTACACATTTATATGGTCAAACAGCTGTAATTTGACTTACCAACATGATACCCAGATGTGTAGGGGAAAAAAAAAATCTCGATGGGCTTTAATAAATCAGGAACCTGAAAGATCCGGTGAGCGGTCAGTATTTAATGGGGTTTCAGACTGGATGTGTGGCAGATCAGATCTTTATGGAGTCAGGTTGTAGGTAGCTTCTGAATGTGGTGAAACAGGCTTTAATTCTGACAGGACTGACGAGCGAATGGCTAGTCCGAGCAAGCCCAGAGTGGATTGTTGACGACGTAAACAACTCTGATGTAAAAAAAAAATGTCTTTGTAGTTCATGCCAACGCTACTTTATAAACTGCAGCTGTCAGTTTGACATCAAATTGATATTTACATTGAACCCTGAGATTATTTGTAAGTGTGATCAGCAGCGAGCTACTTACACACCTGGGGCGATTCTGGAGCAGCGATATGATGTTAAATTAAGAGCAGTGTAAATGTTTTGAGAATATTGATCTCATAAGCCAAAAAGTTCCGATTGAAGTGACTCAGTTCGCTCATCAGTCAAGTCAGAATTAAACTTTTAACTTCCTGAACTGCGCTCGTTCACAGAGCCATCTACAACAGGTAAGGTAATAAGTGCTCATAACTGCAGCACGGTGGATCAGTTGGTAGAGCTGCCGCCTCTCAGTGAGAAGGTTGCCGGATTGAATCCGGTCCAGGGGCCTTTCTGCATGTTCTCTCCGTGCATGCGTGGGTTTTCTCCGGGTACTCCAGTTTCCTCCCACAGACTAAAAACATGCATGTTAGGCTGATTGGTAACTCTAAATTGTCCCTAGGTGAGTGAGCGAGTGAAATTTTTTTTGTCTCTATGTCCCTGTGATGGACTGGAGACCTGTCCAGGGTGTCCCCCGCCTCTCGCACAGTGATAGTTGGACCCGAGCACCAGTGAACCATATCCATTAATCCATCCAATAATGGATGCTTTACTAAATCTAACTTGAAAAATCCGCACCACTCCTGTAATGGTTTTAATGACGTAAAAACATCAGCCATGTTGTCCCTTAACGTGTCTTAAGTTAGTGTTTTGAGCAGGAAACACATGAAAATAGATTTATATCTGAAAACAGCATCCGTTCATTTCATACGATCATCTGTTTATTTCACATGACTCCTCCCCCTGCAGTGACCACCGACCCCCCGTCAGGTGTGACCGTCAGTCGCGTTGGCCAGTTGGAGGACCAGCTCAGCGTTCGCTGGGAGGCCCCGCCAGCTCTCAAAGACTTCCTGTTCCAAGCCAAGTATCAGATCCGCTACAGGCTGGAGGACAGCCAAGAGTGGAAGGTAAAGAAACACATTTATAAATCTGTTCCCCCAGACATGCAGACACGGACCCAGCTGTTTCACATCTTAAACTGGTGCGCTCCAAGCTCCCTCTGCCAGGTGAGTTAATAGTTAGGCCTGTCAAAAACCTAAAAATCATAGAAATCAGGTTTTAATAAGGGAGAAACCTGAGGCCCAATCCACTGTAAACAAATCCTTCGCAAACCTTTTATGAATGAAAAATACGCAGGGAGCGAGTCTGTCATGCAGATGGAGCTTCAGAGAAATCATTTTCCTCGGGACAGGAGGGAGGAGTCTGCTCTAATTAAGGAGGAATTACACCATCGTAATATAAGCAAGTCTTTACTCGCACACTGGAAAACGAGAAGGCGAACAAGGAACGGGGAGTGGAGAGGCGCGGCGGAGAGATGATTCCATTCAAAGGAGGAGAGCGGAGGCTCCGAGGGCCGCTGGTGGAAACAAAGCACCTCTGAACCGGCCCTAATCATGAGGTCATGCTGAGGAATGGAGGGATACATCTCAGCTGTTAATGTCTTCAATATGGCCGTAAAGACGCTCAGCTGTAACGTCTGCCTGCTTGGCTTGCTTTACATCACATCATTAGCACTCTGCTGCGTGTAATTTACATGTTCTGCTTTCTGCTGGAGCTCCTCTTCACAAGTGTTTACACTCAGGACGCCAGGGAGAGCGCAGGGACCATCATTTATTGCAACATCTCCGATTTTTTACTGCGTTTTGGGCTCCTCTCTGTTAGTTTTGGTACCTGTGCACAGTGTGTGAGTGCGTCGCAGCACATTCCACTGTGTAATAAATAATAGGGACCAGATTTTTACCCAGCAGGCACAATTTTGCTAAAATAGTTTGATAAACATGCTGATCAGGAGCCACTAAACAATGTGGTGTTCATGCATGTGTGGCTCCGTGCATGGTTTGTGTTTTCTGCATCTTGATTCTGCGTCGTGTTTCCGTTCATGCCCATTGGTATTTAATACTGCGGTCAGACCTCCAGCGCTCAGCTCATCAGTGTTTTCTCTTCTTGTTGTTGTTAAGGTGATGGATGACGTGGGGAATCAGACGTCGTGTAGACTGGCTGGTCTGAGACCCGGAACGGTGTATTTTGTCCAGGTGTGGTGAACATGTGCACGTACTACGTTGTGTAAGTGCAAGAAAATGCTTTTAACGGTTGGTTCTGTTCATTTACGATGCGTTTTCCCTGCAGGTTCGTTGTAACCCCGTGGGCATCTACGGCTCTCGCAAAGCTGGGATCTGGAGCGAGTGGAGCCACCCCACAGCTGCCTCCACACCCCACAGTGGTGAGGCGTCCACTCAGAGGAGTTTATTTGTTCTTCATCTCAGTTTTATAAATTGGAAGACGTGAGCAACATAAGGCCCGAGGGCCAAAAGTGGACCTTGGACAATTTCCATCCGGCCCACAATATTCTAATTTGAAAAGAAAACAACTTTTAAATGCGGTGATGAAAAGCAGCATTTTATCTATGAAATGTAAGAATTTTCATTCAACCTTTATTTATACAGGTTAGTCCCACTGAGCCTCGGGGACTCTTTTACAAGAGAGACCAGTTTTTGACAAAGAGTGATGACAACAACAACAATAGACAATCATAAAGGATGCGTACAAATTGATTTTTTTTAACAAATGAAAATAAAATGGTAATTAAAAGGATGAAATAAAACGGAAAAAAAAAAATATTGGCCAATGGGCCAAATTTCACCAAAGTCCATGCTCAGTAATCCAGGTAAAACTCCAACAATGTTCAGTCAGCTCATCTGGATGTTTTTTTTTATTTAATTTTTGTAGTCCAAATTTATTTTTAAGTCATCGTGTTTCCAGAACCAGACTGAACCTTAAAGACTCCAAAAAGCAAACGCATCACTTTTTATTAATTTATTTAGCATATTTAGGCTAACAAGTATACAGTACTGTATAGCATTGGCGTCAGAAGCATTTGTAATGTGGGGGGGGGGGGGGGGACACACTGGTGGGGGGGTCTGGGGGTCCTCCCCCAGAAAATTTTAAATAAAGTAGATGCCATTTCCTGCATTCTGGTGTATTTTAACGGGTTGTTAAACATCTATGTTTACCTACATACAGTAAACACTTGATTCAAGAACTATTTTAGAGAGCAAGGCATAACGCCCCCCCCCCCCCCAACCCCCGGTCGACAGCTGCTAGCACTAGCATGACACTATGCAAGCGGCATGCAATACAGATGTGCTAGCTAAGATGCTACAGACATAGCACTCTGCTTCTCTAACGCATCAACCCCCCCCAGTCAACAACTGCCCACACTAATGTAGTGCTAAGCTAGTGAACAAGGCAGGTTTCTCTCCTTCCTCCCCCGCCCCGTGTGTGCGGTGAGTTGTTGAAGGCAACCAGGAAAACCTGGAGTGGACTTTTAGTGGTTTGAGTATTCTCCCATTAATCAAGTGGAATGGATTGGTTCAAAACGAAATAGAAACAGCGCTGGGTGAACTAATATTTCATGGTAAATGTGGGGGTGGAGGGGGTCCAAATTAGTATTTTTTTTAAATGTGAGGGGGACACGTCCCCTTCACATACAATTGTTGCGACGCCTATGGTCACAAGAGCCAATTTACAGAGAGCATCATGTTCCTATAGAGTATTGAAAATATATTTTTGATTAAGTCCTTCTAACTATGTTACAAAAAAAGAGGATTAAAAATAATATTAAAATTGTTTTCCAATTCTCTACGCCGCCCTTTGATTGTTTTAAATATCTTAAATTGACCTTCTCAAAAAGAGTGCTGCCCACCACGTCTGCCTAAATCTGTTGCTCCAACTGTAGTTTCATACGAAGCTGATTATCCAGCTGTCAGGTTTTAAGTGTTTGTTTTTTGAGAGGTTTATTTACAGTAAATAAACTGAACCACAGTTTAAACCAAAATTTGATTAATGTCATGGAAATAATTTAAAGAAAATAGTTTTTATATGTGCTGATGTAGGCATACAGTAAGTGTTGTAGAAAATATTATCTTCATCTGACCACAAGCACAACCCCAGTTCGAGAAACAAAACACTAATCCTAAAAAAATTCCCATTTTATTTTAAATAATTTGGGGGGGGGGGGGGGGGGGGGGGTCAGAAACTATAATGGCAAAGGAATACGTTTTCAGTTTGAGAAAAAAAAATCATTTTGTGTTGTTGCAGCTGTCTGTCTTACTGTTTTAAATTACAATTAAAGTCTTTATACCATCAACAGTGGTGGCCATGAATATATGCAGGAATTCTTGCTGGGATTTTTGGTTAATTAAAAACAGAACATCTAAAAATTCTTCATTTCTCTTGTTGCTCTTGTGAGTCTGCGCACGGATTCGAACATGTTGGATTTAGAGCTGATGTCGAAACGATGCGCCCAATCACAGCTCCAGCTTCCTGTTAGGGAACTCTGGGAAAATAAAGTATTTCTAATATAATATGTGCATTGAAAAAAAAACCATGAGCCACAATAATATGTTAGAGCAAACTGTTATTCCTTGTTATGGCTGTATTTTATATTCTGTCCATCTGAAAATCTCAATGGAAAACTTACTAAAGCATAAAACTATAAAGGTCATATAAGCGGCGCATACTAATAATCAGTTGGTTCTATTTATTTATTTATATATTATATTTACTTTTATTATGTCAGTTCCTGGTAAAGGTGTTGGCAGTGCCAATATCAGGGTCTTCCTTTCAGTTTGGGAAACAAAAACTAAAACAGGTGAATTATTCTATTTAGAATAAAAAAGACCAAAGAGTTTGAATCTTTGACTGAAGTCATGCAGTCAGGCTGCACAGGAACTGCTTTTCCTCTGTTTTAAACTGAATCTCTCCTCCCTCCTGGTTATCCCCCCCCCCCCTGCAGAGCGGCTCATGTCGGGCTCCTGCGACTCCAAGTCGAGCGGAGACTCCAACTCCACGCTGCGCCGGGAGCTGAAGCAGTTCTTCGGCTGGGTGAGGAAGCACGCCTACGGCTGCAGCAGCATGTCCATGAAGCTGTACGACCAGTGGAGGGTGCTTATGCAGAAGTCCCATAAAACTCGCAACCAGGTAGGTAAGCATCGCCAGCGCCGAGAAGAAGCATGTGCAAACACACACGCTCGTCACGTCCCCACCAGCAGGCATGCAGCACATGTCCTGCATCACACAAACACAAACAAACTGCAAATGATTTTACTAAACTGGATGCGTAACAGACCGTCTTTGTTTTAGGTTCTCCAAGGGGATAAATCGTAGCACATGCTGGCTTACGAGGAGAAAAGAAAGCAACTGAGTGAATGCAGGTTGTGTTTTTGTTGTTTTTTTTATGTGTGAATGAGAAAGAGAGACTGCATTTTGGAATGATTCCAGCTGTGGCCACAGGAGAAAATCCAAAGAAAAACTGTGGGAAACACTTCGTTTGGGGCTGATTTCCAGTGAAAATGAGCGCTGAACAACAACAGTGACTGACTGAGGCGTTCAACTCATCCTGTTGCCATGGCACCGCTGACTGGACCGCCTTCGTTGTAGCTACGCACCCTGGAAGTGATAACACCAACCTGATCTGTTGGCCGATCAAAGCGTTGTGGGGTTTCTCCCGTTGGTCCAAAGCACCATCTAGTGGCTGCTCGGCTTCTGTGGATTCTCCGACCCGACACCTACAGCAAGGTGCTCATGTACAAAGAGATAATAACAGATTATATTACAGTATTTTCATGAAAGCTTTGTTTCAGAGGAGGATGATAATGTGCCAAACTGGTTCACCCAGGCTTGATGTGACTGATGACACCACGGTGTTTGTGTAGGCTTTGGAAACGTTTCACTGCCCTTTATTTTTGTACGGAGTTGTACTCGTGTATTTAAAGTATAAAGCTATGTTTTATAGTTCTTAAATTATGTTTAGTTAGTAAAGACTGTACAATGACTGAAGTTGTTATCGATCTCTAATGGTGTTTCATAAAAGTGCTGCCAAAAACATGAAATGTGACTGTTACTATGTGTGTGTGTGTGTTTACCCTGTAAGGCCCATTTTTCCAACTTCTACATTGTGATGACCAACTGGTCCTTATGGGACCCAAAGCCTAGTCCCCATAAGAAGAAGTGTCATTGGTTAGGGGTTAGGTTTAGGGTCAGGGTCATGGTTAGGATATAGAAATGAATGAAAAATGAATGGAACTCAATGCAAAGTCTCTGTAAAGATAGAAGGACAAACTGGTGTGTGTGTGTGTTCGTACGCCCACTGACTACAGTATCCATAGCTCATATCTTTATTAGGTAGGATTTTATGGAAAGGCTATGAATAATTAATATCTTACCTGCTGCAGATTGCTCGTTGAATGACCTCAGTGTGATAAAGTAAAGTATATATATTTTTAATTTTAGTTAGGGAGTGGTGGCACAGAGGTTAGAGATGGCAAACTGAAGGTTGCCAGTTCAAATCCCTGGACTGACAACAAAACTTTGGGTGGGAAAGGTGACATACCTGCACCTGCCCCACTCTGAACCCTTGGGCAAGGCCCCTAACCGTCATCTTTTTGTCACCATTTACTGAGCGCTTGTTCAAAATAGTTTTAATCTGATACAGATAGGTAGAAGTATTATAAATACAACAAACTGGTCATTTGACATACTTTGTACTTAGTACTTTGTATTTTATAGAAAGATAATGGTCTTTTTGATAATGGTCATTGTTTCCAGTTTGTTGGTTTCACTCTTCCTCTTTGTATTCAGCACACATCTTAGTGGCTGACATCCGAAGGCAAACGAAGCACAAGAAGTAAAAAAAATAAATAAATCACAATTTCTGCTCCCGTTTCTTTTCAGGACAGTCGATACAAAATGTACACACAAAGTGACAACGCAAGCTTGTGATCAGTGCTCAAAACAAATAGAAAAGATAATTTAATGATCCTATCATCTGCTCGTTAAATAAATAAGCCACACAGGAGAGGGAGGAGAAGATCTTTCTTATCCCGGGATTTAATCTTGCAAGATGGAGCAGCGTTGAAATGCAAGCATGAAGATGTTTACACGTCGCTTCGTCTCCAAGTCTGCCCACAGGCAGGCAGTGTAAGGAAGTGTCTTTTTATAATGTTGTCAGACAAAGGTGAGGTCAGGACTTCTGCTTTCCTAACAGATATAAGAAACATGAAAGAACATCATCCAGGTGGATATGGAGGATGTTTTAGAAAAGACAAAAAAAAAAAAGACATATTCTTGCAATAAAACATACATTTTTATATACATTTGAGGTCAGTTTTCTCTTTTATTAGGTAGTTTAGGGTAGATCATATTAAAAGCTGCAGAGGTGGCATTATCTGACAAAAACCAGCTGTTCTTGTGTTTGGACTTGTTGCAAAGAGTTCCTGCTCTCGTCCTCAGATGATGAGGACTCAGACCTGCGTTGTGTCCCAGCTGCAGCCGTCCAGGCTCGTCTTTGAACACCTCACTGCACCGTTTCTCTGTTCTTCTGGGAAACCTGAGCCTCTGCTTGCGTTTCCTGCCGCTGCCCAGCCGTGCAGCGAATTCATCTCCGTCTGCTGTCGCTTCAGAGTCTGGTTACTGCACCTGTGACCACTCAGTCGCCGGGCCTTGAAATTCAAACCAGTGTAAAGTTGTTTTTTTCCCAGCTCTAGCCTCACTCTTGAAGCTTTGCTTACCTGCTTACAGTTAATCCGTCTCAGGGCTTTTCTCTCGCAGCTGACATTTTTCCGTGCGATGATTTAAAAGTCAAAGTGGCACACAGAATGCTGATTTTTCTACAGGCTAACGTTCTAAAACTGAAACACTAATGCTCGGTGTGCATCCAACTTAAAACTATTTGCAGAAATTCTGAAGAGTGCCAATGCAGCTACTGCCCACAAAACATCAGTTTTGTCAAAACCTCAACTAAGAATAAAAAAAAAAATCTACATTTTGATGCTTGAACAGTTTGAGAATTGTAAAAAGTTCAACAGAAATGTTAAAGCTGCTCGATATGATCCACACACCAGAGTCTGTCACCACCTGACTGCCAACTTAATGAAAGGCAGACAGACAGACTAAAAAGTAAGCCTCAACCCAACAGTCCTGCTGTCACAACTAAAAGTCAGAGCGTAAGAAATATTGATCCAAGAGCAAAGGAAGACTCTGATGATCACAGATGTCAAATTTTACATTTTCCAAGGTTTTATGTAGGACACTTGAATTATGACAAGTCAAGATAACATTCACTTCCTGTTTTAAAGTTAATATTTTACGTTAAAATAGGACTGAACTTTGTATTCTAGTGAGATGTGAGTGGAAACTTTAAACCGTGTAGCAGTGAGAGACATACTGGGTGAAAGAAGACAGAAATCCCTACGTTTCGATGTATAGTTAATGCATTAAATGTTACGGCGTGTGTCGTCCAAAGTCGGAGCGCACTATTTCAGATCAAGACGCACATGTGGATGTATAATTTTCCTGTTTTAGTTCAAAGATATGTAATGAACTACAGGTTGTAAGGAAGCTTTAATGCGTTTATTAATATAAATTAGTTAAGTCGGGTCCTCTGGACAGATAAAAAAAAAATTAAATTGAATTCAATAGTTGAAGCATTTCGTCTTTTATCCAAAAGACTTCTTCAGTCTGAGGAGCTGCAACAAACTCAGTCTTATAAATATCACCTTCTCATAGTGGATCAACCAGTTTGTTGGTGACATCCAGAACTAGTTGTTCACATGATAAAGGAGGACCATCAGCCTAACGATGTTAATGCCCTGATGGCCGCTTGCTATTCACAGAGGGCTGAGTGATACTAACAATAACAGCTTTATAAGAAGGTGACAAGTGGACATGGAGGCCTCCGCCCCATTCATTGATGCACAGTTTCTCTTCACAAAGATGGCCTCCTTCAATCTTCTCCCCAACTGTTCCCCTCTCACAATGCTGCTATTGCTAGTATCACTCAGCCCTCTGTGAATAGCAAGTGGCCATCAGGGCATTAACATCGTTGGGCTGATGGTCCTCCTTGATCATGTGAACAGCTAGTTCTGGATGTCACCAACAAACCGGTTGATCCACTATGAGAAGATGCTATTTATAAGACTGAGTTTGTTGCAGCTCCTCAGACTGAAGAAGTCTTTTGGATAAAGGACGAAATGTTTCAACATGTTTTTTTTTTAATCTGTCCAGAAGACCTGACATAACTTCGTTGGATTTTACTACCTGGATTACTGAGAATGCAACAGGATGCTACGGTGGACCTGAGGTGTAAATGAACAACATTTGAAAAAAACAAACAAAAAAACAGAATTACATTAAAAAAAAATATATATATATATAAACAAAACAAAACACAACAACATTTGAAAAAACAGAATTAAATTATGCAAAAATGGAAGTGGCCGGAATCACATTGAAAAAAACGGAATTACATTAATTCTGTTTTTTTCAATGTGATTCCGGCCACTTCCACTTCGGCCTAATGTAATTCTGTTTTTTCAAATGTTGTTGTTCATTTACACCTCAGGGCCACCGTAGGATGTTTTTATCAATGCTTAAATAATAACGCACAAAATTCTCAGAAATTAATTTGTGGTGATAAACACATTTTTGCAAAGATTAGGGCCCAGAGATTATGGCACCTTGTGACAGTGGAAATGGCGTTGGAGTTATTTCATTGAGAAAATGCAAAAAAATCAAATCACTGTACAGAAAAAAAAAGTACTGCAGGACAATAAGAAGGAGACTGCTGGATGTAAACACTTTTAATTAGAATTAAACAAATCTAATAGTCATGCAAAGAAGTCATACTTTGTGTAATAATATGCAGATAATGTATTTAGAGAGATTTGTTTTCTGTCATGTTTACAACTCAAGAAATTAGAGAGAAGCCGTGTATTCATCTTTTGTTTAATTTTTGTTCCAGTTGAGGAGAAATATGTTTCCCCAGAACCTTTAATACGCCTGACAGACTCCAATAATATACTTTGAACAGGAACTTTTATAAGAATTAATGAAATAAACCGCCCGGCAGGTTGACAGAGGAAGATTTCTCTGTAAAAACAAGTTACTGCAGCTCAGAAAGGCAGATAAACTGCACAGGAGGAGACAAAGGAAAGGAGCTGCAGTATTTAAATATTAACTACACAGTATCTAAGTGGTACTGATACAACTGAAGGCTAGTTTATTGCTCATCGGTCCATGATGTTCATTACAGAAATTTTCAGCTTGTCCAATATCGGAATGAAATCCGTTTTTTAAATACGGTGTCATAAATTACTACTGCATGCAAATTTTAGAGGTTTTCTACAAGCTCTGCAAAAATGCACATTTATCGCTGTCACGCTTGATTTACCGGAGAGCTTTAATGAGCGTGTTCACTGCATCATTAACCGGGAACTTTGTTTATTCTTATAAACCTTGACTGAAATAAAACCCTGATTCTCCTCCCTTTGGTTTTGATTTTTTTTTTTTTGTGCCAACCATTCGTCATGAGAGAAACCTTGGATAGAAAGACAGCTGAGGTGTTTCAGGCCTTGTGGTTAAGATAGGATTTCTTCACCGTTCGGTCATGAATAATTCAGCTCGGGAGGCTATACGGCTCACCTGGAGAGTCACACAAGACACGGATGTCTTAACGGAGAGTAGACAAAGAGGGAGAGCGGAGGACGAGGAGGCAGGAGGAGCATGGAGGAGGTGGTGAGGAAACGACCAATAATCTCTGCAAAAGAAAGAGGTCAGTTGAAGAATTCTGTCTGATGTGTCTGTGCATCCACATGGATCGTGTTAAAGCTTCGGGGCTTTGCCATGAAATCTCTCACAGCATCACAAAGTCGTTGCTCCACACTTGTTTGAGATTTCGACTTTGTTTAGAATCCATTCCCAAACAACAGAGGAAGAGCTTAAAATGCGTAACCGTAGAAAATAAGTTAAAGAGGTCCATGTGGAAATGATCAGAGACCAAGCGGGCTGAGCCACGAATCTGTTGCATCATTCTCATCCCTGTCAGGTCCTGGTCCTGGGCGCTACGCTCTGCCCCCTACAGTCGGGTACATCAACCATGACTTCACCAAACCCAGCAGTCCTGCGTATACTTTCCACAGCCGCATGAGCAGCGCCAGTAAGTTTCCAATTAGGAACTTTTAGGAAATCTGTTAATTTACCTTTTGTTGGTGTGGCCCAGTTTGGTAAAACATCTCGGACTCACGTTGGAGTGCCTTACAGAGCTTCAGTTAAATATTGTACAACTCTAGTAGTGTGTAAGCAAAATGAATGACCATACTGTGAATCCTGTTATGTGTAGTGGTCTCTGTGGACTCCAGCCCAGGTCCGAGATACTACATTGGTGACAAGGTTACACGTTTTGGCCGCAACGAGTCACCGGCTTATTCCATCTCCGGCAGAGGACGACGTATTGTGAATAAAGGTAATTCCAAAGATCTGCTCCCTCTGACCTGGGATCTCAAGGTGTTCCCTGGCCAGCAGGGGTAGAAAAATCATCTTCTCTCAGATTTGTACCGCTTGCAGCCGGTCGAAGCAGATGGCCGCTTGACCTGAGCCTGGTTCTGCTAAAGGTTTCTTCCTCATGAGGGAGTTTTTCCTTTCCACTGTCGCCTTCGTGCTTGCTCAAGATGAGAGTTCTGTGATGGAATTAAACTCAAAGCCGTCTGCTCCTCAGATAAATAGTGTTAAATTATTATTTTTATGAAAGTTTCCATTCAGTGCCCTGAGACGACTTCTGTTGACTTGGCACTAAATAAATAAACTGAACTGAACTGATCTTACTTTTTCGGTCATGTTCCAATACTCATGGCCAAAGGGGAAGGTTGGAATGTAGACCAGGACCAGGACCAGGAAATCGAGAGCTTCACTGTTTATTTATCTTAACCGATTGAAGCAGTCCACTCATTGGAGCAGACAAAGCCCCAGTCGGTCTACCCATCTCACGCTCCATCCTACCAGCACCCACAAACGAGATGCTTGAACTTCTGCTTGAGGCAGAAAGGGAGCATTCCATTTTTTTTCAGGTCAAGAACCATGGCTTCAAACTTAAAGGAGCTGACGCTCATCCCTGACTTCATACCTGGTGGTGAACCTCTGCAGGGCTCACTTTTGGTCACAGCATCAACAGAACCTCATCATCTGCAAAAAGTAAAAATGAGACCCTGAGGTTTCCCAGCCAGACACAATCCTCTCTATGAGTACACCTTAAGATCCTGTCCGTGAACCAGTGACAAGAGGTAGCCCAGGCACAGTTCAACCCACAGTGGAAGCAACACTGATCTGAGAACATGTACACCGTTCTTGCTTTGGTTACACAGAGACTGAATAGCACATACAATGACTTCTACACCCTATATTCCCTCAATAACCTCCATAAACTGTCTTCAGTCACAATCATAAGTCCTTAATGGGCCCAAAGCACGTGCTGACAGAACATTTAACAACTCTAGTGTAAAGATCAGGTCCATGACCCAGATAAAAACCCACACTGCTCCTCATGAATCTGAGGCTAGTTGACTGGTAGGAGCCTCCTTTTCAAACGTGACCCGCTGATAGTTGAACACACACACACACACACACACACACTCCAACTCCATGTAAAAAAACTAATATGGGACAAGCCGATTATCATCATGATAAGTTAGAAAAAAGCTGTTATCCACATAAATAGAAAAATATGGTCTTTTCACATACACATCAAACTGTTGAAAAAGTAAGAGGTTTTTTTTCTACCATAGGGTGTTTTTATTATCAGTGGCTGAGTGCTTAGAGCAGTCGTCCTCCAATGCAAGAGTTGGGGGTTCAAATCCACCAGCAGTCACATGTTGAAGTGTCCCTGGGCAAGACACTGAACCCCTCGATGCCTCCAATGTGTGTCCCATCAGTGTACGAATGTGATAAAGCTCTGATTAGTCTCTTTAGAATGGTTTGTTCAATTAGTTTTGTAGAGATCTAGTAGAGTGCTGTTTGAATGGGTAAAAGAGGACACAGATTGTAATGTAAAGCGCTTTGAGTGTCTTGATAAGATAGAAAGGTGCTATATAAGTTCAGTCCATTTACAAAAATTTCTGTTTCCAGATGAGCCGTTTCAGACTCCTGGACCGGGGGCTTACAGCCCAGAGAGGGTCCCACCGGTCAACGCTCACAGCAGACCTCCAATCTACACAATAGGAAATCGAACGAGATACCGCTCTGCCGACCCTGTTCCAGCCCCCAACAGGTGAGAGCAGGAAGGATACATGATCCACCTGCTTATTAATCTGTTTTCTTTGGCCATGACCTAAAATATATTAGTGAACAAATAGCCTACATAATCCAGATTAGGTTTTAGAAAATCAGAATGTAACAATCCTTTATGGTTATGTTTATCACTCGTAGCATTTGAGTTGTGCTACATTTAACTAGAAGGCTGATTTAGTTTGAATCTTTGCCAAACTTCTTCTCAAGCCTAAATGTAACCACAGATGGGGATCCGGTTGCGAACACAATCTCAGGTTATACAAGCAAGAGCCCTCCGTCAGTCTGCTCCAACAAAAAATACAGTTTTCTGTTTTTAACACAGGAAAAGTTGGGCTTTGATCAGTTCCATGGTTTTGATGAACACCAGTAACCTTAAAAGGTGTAATGTTTCTGTCTTTTTCCTCACTCGCTCTTGTGCAAGGCATACACATTTTCTTCCCTCTCCTGTCCTTCTCCTGCTTTATTGCTCTCTGTCTGTGTATCGGAGCTCCTATTTACACATCTTCCGAAACGAAAAACTACTCTCATGGATCTGGTCAGCTGGACTTTCAACGCAATCGATAAAATCTTTTCAACAAAGCGACAGGGTCCTGGAGAGCCCTCATGCCCCGCTAAGACTCATGCTGCAGGATACATCATGGATCCATGGGGAGTTTGGGAGCTGATGTGCCTTTCCGTATTGTCTCAGGAGGATGCTGAAGATGTTTATAGAATTGGAATCATGATAACAGGGTTTCTGCTTTTTGGCATTGGCGGATGACTACTGTATGTTATCAGCTATTGAAGAAGATGGCGGCAGCAGTTTTGACCATGGCAAAACTGCAGAATCTGTGTGAAGGTTTGGTTTGTGCTTAGAGTACTCAAAATCAGCTGATTTACGAGCTAAACCATAAGATGGAGGCGATTTGTTAGAATCGTAGGTCACCTGCGACTTCTGGGACTCGCCAGCATGTTGGGGACGACCTTGGAGGGAGCTAATAAGGGTGGACCAGTGGAATGCCCACAAATCTTGCCATTCTGGATCGAAAGTACCAGCAGAACTCAAGGCTGACAAGAAAAAAAAACTGTCTGCCTGAAAAAAAAATCAACAGTTGTGGTTTATCTGAATCTGACTCCCCTGGTTAACCTTGAAGCAGGCCAACTTATCAAATTTCTACTGGGATATGTGTAAACTAAGGAAAAGCTCTGTCTATTGCACACCCCCCTCCAAACTTATGCAAAGGTTTATCAGAGCTGTACCGGTTGACGCCAACATCTTATCAGGACTATGGCATATCTGGAAGTGCTTCATGGCCAAATCTCACCATCTTGCCGTCAAATGCATATGTAATGTGTCTATAGATGTGCTTGCTGGTAGTATTTTGAAGTCTTAAATTGTGTCCTGATAAGGACAAGATGTGAAAAGATCTTTTTTGTAATACCAGTATCCTATCCTCGTGGCCTTTATCTCTTTTCTTTCTAAAAAGTATTCTGAAAAAGAATAAGGGGCCACGCTCTCAGGAGCAATGTGCACTCCACCCATCTTTCAGACGACTATACAAACATAATCTCACTGTATATTGGTACAATGATAATAAAACTTATTCTGATTCTGAAAACCTTAAAAGGTGTAATGTTTCTGTCTTTATTCTACCAGCTACACCCTTCCTCATCTGCTGGGCTCTCAGGTTCCACACAAACCATCCAGCGCCAGTTACAGTTTCTCGAGCCGAAGGATCGTCGGAGCTCCCGCTGAAGATCTCGCCAGGACACCTGGACCGGGACAGTATAGAAGCACCAACCCAGACATCTACAGACAGCGCCAGCCGTCCTTCAGCATGCAAAGCCGAACTAAAAAACCCAATTATTCCTTTGCAGTTCCTGGTCCTGGAGCGTACAGCCCGGAGCGGACCTACAGCCACCTTCACAAGCCCTCGTCCTTCTCCATGGGCATCAGACATTCAGAGTTCGTTACTCCACTTATGGTGAACATGACTGACTGACAGCGCAAAGGAAATACTTACATTTTTAACTTGTGATTCAGTTTCGTTCACACAATAATACTAAAATAAACTTGTATAGATTAGTATGTCATCAATCATACACCAGCAGTTTTTAAAAAGTAGAAATACAGCAAGTTTTATTAGAAATGACAATTCATTGTATACAAATAATATCCATGAATTTCTTAATAAATAAAAAATAACATCGAGAACTCAGACTTGCATTGTACATGCTGTTAAGAATATTTATAAATATATATGCATTTCTCTCCAGGTCAGCTTTACTTAAAATGTGCAGATAAAAAAATGAAATGCAACATAAATTAGAGTTTGGTTTTAGGTAGAGTGATTTTTACAGGTGAGCTCCAGTCACTGCACCACCCCAGACCCAGCATTTCTTCAGCACACACCTGGAACTGGTAGGTCCTCCCTGGGATCAGCCCCTTCAGTACAACCCTGGTGTTCTCAAACGGACCCAGCTGAGAGAAAAAAATACAAAACATTAATAATAATTAACCAAAGAAAAGCAAATGGTTTGAGGATTTCACCTTCCAGACATTAAGTTCTTTACACGTTCTTCTTGGATGGAATCAGTTGTAGATGTACACCCAGTGATTACTTTCTGAGAGTTTCATTAAATTACATTTTAACTAGTGGTTCACGAGATATGAGCTGACACTGCACTGTTCTGGAAATTAAAAAAGACCTAACCCAAATTCATATTAAGGTGTTAACATCCTTCTCCAGTTTTGTAAGGACTCGTAATGACTTCATACTCTAACTGTAAATATTTCCAAAAAAAAAAAAAGATTAAAGGCAAAAACAACTGGCCCACATCAAATCTACCATCAACATCAGTGAGGACCTTCACCAGTACGCATATGGTGAGAATCGATCAACAGAGGTGGTCATCTCCTCTGTGGTCCACACTGCTCTCACCCACCTGGAGCAGAAGGACTCCGACGTCCGTATGCTCTTTGTGGACTTCACGTCTGCCATCAACATCATGATCCCCCAAACCCTGATGGACAAACTACTCACACTAGGACTAAGCCCCTCCATTTGCAACTGGGTCCTTGACTTCTTAACAAACAGACCACAGTCTGTAGGATCCACAACTTCTCTCCCTCCACCATAACCCTCAGCCCTGGCTATCCCCAGGGCTGTGTGCTAAGACCCCTCCTGTTCACTCTGCTCACATATGATTGTGCAGCTACCCATCCAGGCTGTCACATTGTAAAGTTTGCAGATGATACAGCGGTGGTGGGATGCATCACAAACAATGATGAGTCCAGCTACAGGCAGGAGGTGGAACACCTGGAGAGCTGGTGCAAAGAGAATAACCTTCACATCAATGTGAAGAAGATGGAGATGGTTGTGGATTTCAGAAGGGGCAAACACACCTATACCCCCATGAACATAAGAGGATCTGCAGTGGAAGGGGTCTCCATTTATAAGTACTTGGGTGTGCACCTGAGTAGTAACCTCACCTGGGGTAACAACACTACCAGTCTAATCAAGAAAGCTCATCAGTGGTTTTGTAAGCTGGTGTTGTACACTGCTGTGTCCGTTTGAAACTATCCATCTAGCTTTCCTATGATTTAAGTTGGCTATAGTCACCCGCCTCAGCTCTGTGATCACTTTGACTCTGAAGAAAAGAACAAGGAAACTGTAGCACAATAAAAACTCAAGATTTATCTGTGATCTTTACTTTGCTTTTTGCTGAGAGGCTCTTAAAGTTGTTCCATATGGCTGAAAGCTGCACACAACTTTTTATTTTTAATAACCAGTGGCACCTCCAGACATTTTTAATGGGGTGGCTATGTGAGGATGGCACACCAAAACCAAAAGCCAGAGCGACATTTCAGGAGATTTGTTGTTATTTATTAGTTATTTGTCAAATACAGCAACACAGTTAAGGACACAGCTGATTTACAGGTCTACTTTAGATTTTTAGTTTTTTTTTAATTTACTGTCTATGTTAATGCAAAAAGCACAGTCACTACTCAACTTATTGAAGCTTGTCCTCTCCTAAAATAAAAAAAAAAAAAAAAAAAAAAAAAAAAATATATATTTTTTTTTTTAAAAAAAAAAATGAAAATATTGCTTATAAAAGAATATAATGCATGTAACTTCCCGAGACCCTGCATCCTAATGTTTAGGACATTGGTTTAAAACTGGACATTAGAGATTTTAGGGATTTTAGGTTTGATTTTTAAATAAACTATATATTTATATTTTAACTCTTAATTTAAAAAAAATAAAACATCTGTTTTTATGTTTGAGGTAAAACTACTAAAACTAAATATATAGGGAAATAAAAAACGCACACTAAGCAAAATCTTGGGACTAAAGAGGACAGAAACGCTAGCCAAAGAGGGGCTAGTTGGGGACACCCCCTTTTTTTTAGGGGTAGCCATTGCCCTCGTTGACACCCCTTTAGTGGTGCCCCTGTCACTAATATGTACTATATTTGACAATACCGTCTGTTTAGTTAGTGGATCAAATATTTGTACCAGATTCTGTCGGGTTGTGTTTCTCTCAGCTGTCTGTAGGAGTCGCCACAGCCAGAGAACAAATGTACAAGTTTATGGGTGACAAAATTACCAGTTTGACCAACATGGTTTTAATTTGATTAATTCTCATTATAAAATAATTTGAGTCAAAAACTCTGGCATGAAAGGTGGCGAGCGATATGCATTCCTTCAAGCAATTCTAGACCTTTAAATAATATTTGACTCAATTAACTGCTGATTTTTATGATTTTAAAGCTTTAAATTGAATATGATGATCATATTAACGCTACTAATGTTAAATGATTATTAGTAATCCTGTCAAACAAAACAAAGTCTGCTAAAGTGTAACTTTTTTTCATGCGGAAATTACAAGTATTGAAGAAAGTTTCAACATATAATCCCCTTAAAGTAGTAAAAAAAAAAAAAAAAAGTGTTTTAAATAAATAAATAAATGTTTAGTTTCCTCAAAATGACGCAGAATTCCTGTAAACGGTTTCAACCTGACAACCAAGTGCAACAATTGTTTTTGTAAACGTTACTGAACGGAGCGGTTGTGACCCAAACGGAGGGGATTTCTGAAAGACTTGAGGTCATTTTACGTTCCACATTTGAAACGTGCACTGGTTCTGTTGTTGCAACACGTTTTACCTTGACAGACTTTGGGATGCCGCTGTTCTCCCACTGGTGCAGGACCTGGTACTTCAGGGGGAAGATGTCCAGACTGGTCCAGGTGGGAGGAGGAGACCACTGCACCACCAGGTGTTTGACATTATGAGGGGAAACTTGGACATGAACCGGAGGATCTGGTTTCACTGCAGACAGATTTTATTGATAGTCGTTGGCATTAAAAGTTGGGACAGCTATTTTGTTAGAGTGTAGAGTTCTCACCGATGTCCTCCAGCATGAAGCTCGTTAGATGAGAGCTGCTTCCGGCAGAATGAACTGCTGTGATGTTGATGATGTAGTCAGTGAGGAGCTTCAGGTTGGGCAGGTGACAGTGCCACAGCTGGACCAAAGAAAGATTTACAACTTAGGTAATTCGGTTTATACAGATTTATTACACACAGCAGAAACGTGCGTCTGTCTGTGTTCGTGTGCTTGTCTGTTAGCAAAATATCTCATGAACCGCTGCACAAATTTGAATGAAACTTGCAGCAAGTAATCACTGGATGTGCATCTACAACTGATTAACTTTTAGACACAACACAATTCAAGATGGCTGCCACGGCCAAGTGACATTAAGCAACACTGAAAAGGTGATAACTCAGTCGTTTTAGACACGTTGACCCAACATTTGGCACAGTGGTAGCCAGGCTTAATCTAAACATACATTTTGAGTGATAACAGTGTCTCCAAGTTCTTTGTTTGAAATTTTGCCGTTAATAATTTGATGTCAACTCTGTCCGTCTGTTGGCAAACTATCTCATGAACCACTGGATGGATTTTCATGAAGCTTTCAGAAAACATTCAGTGGATGTACTTCTACAACTGTTCAACTTGTGGAGCCAACCTTGTTCAAGATGGCTACCACAGACAACTACACTTAAAAAAACACAAAAATATTATAACTGAGTCAGTTTTGCATATAATGAGCTAAGATTTGGTGTGGTTGTAGCTGAGAGTCATTTATAACAACATCCTGAGTGCTGCACAGTTTGCAAGATCTTTGCTTAAAAATTTAAGCTTTAAATGTTGGTGTCCAACATACTGTGTGTTTGTTAGCAAAATATCTCACAAACCACAGGACAGATTTTAATGGAACGTTCAGAAAATAATCAGTGAGTAAATATATACAACTGGTGAACTTTTAGAGTCAATCCAATTCAAAATGTCCACCACAGCTGATCAGGCAGCACAAAAAGAGCTAAAACACAGTCAACGTTACAGCATGAATGGATCTACGAGTCGGTCACAATCCATAATTCAAATCTTCTGTACCTGTTTGGAGGCTGATGATGGGACTGAGGTCAGAGCTGAGGATGAAGATCCAGGTGGGATGAGATGGCAGTGCTTGGTGTTTGTGTGTGGGTGCCTCTCACTGTCCAACAGAAACACACACACAGGTAATGGAGTGTTTGACTTAAAGGGGTCGCATCAACACAAAGAGCACAGGTCTACCTGTAGGTGGCGAGATAATGAGTTGGAGGGGAGTGGGAGGGTTGAGGCCAGGAGCAAAGCGTCATGTTGGGATAGCTGGAGCACCAGCAATGCACCTTGGGAGTGGAGGGTGGATCTGAAAACAGAAATGACGCTGTTGTTACTCAACAAGCTTAACATGAAACACAAGTTATAGCTTAGCTCAGGTTATTTCAAGAGGGATTCCTTCATAAATATCTTACCTGTTGTAGATAGCTCTCTAAGTCTCTAAACTGAGGTTGATCAAAGTTTAGTTCTGAAAAGACTGACAAGCTAACAGCACTGCAGCCGAAATTACATCTTCAAAAAAAGCTAACAGCTAGTCCAAGCAGGCAAAAACAACACAGGACTTTTAAAAAAAGGTTGTAGCATTTCATGTGAAAGCTATTTTATAAACGTTCACACTGCTAGCATTTTAGCAGTACACAGTAAGTCAGCAGAGATATTATGATAGTCCTGCAGGAAGTGCCCCAGACTGCACAAGAAGTGCTACAGCTAGCTGCCGCTATTTGCTCTAACAAATGGCAACACTCTATGGAAATAGTCATTTGTGAAATTTAAAACAATTAATAAATGGTGTTTGAATAAAATATGTTTTGGGGATTAGAGTTGTTTTAAAAAAAAAAACAGTTTGGTTTCAGCTGAAGTCAGACTAGCTGTTAGCTGCTGTCTGCTCAAATTTAAGCTAATTCTCTGAAGTGAGGCATTTTTAAAGAACTATCCATAACAGGTAAGATATTTTTTGTTTATAACTGTTTTATGAAACCCCACTTAAATGTTCTGAACTATCACTTTAATCATCCAGTTACTACTTATTAATTTTTTTCCAACACATATATGATTAAAACTGTATAAAAAGTCAGTTATAATTGAAAAGCTTTATTTATTTTTTGTGTCTACATACTAAAGATTACTGGTCCCCAAAGTGAGGGTCGAGACCCCCACAGTGGGTCAGGAAACACCCTCTGAGGCTTCCAAGTGTCTGACACTAGTACTTTATGGGTCTGAAACTGAAGTTTGAGAAAAACACACACAAAACAACAACAAAGAGAAAACACAATGATGTAATAAAATTCATTTGAAGGTCTAAAATGGAAAATTTGGACGTCTTGTGTCTTTGTTGGGACTCCTCTCCAGATTTCTGGGACATCTATCTGCAACAATCACGACCCTAAAACCAAGTCCTAACCCACCACGGCTGGTCTCAGTACTCACCTCCTGACGTGGCCGTAGCTCTCAGCAGGTCCAAGGCTTGACCTCCCAGAACCGAAACGAGGAGCGCCACAGTCACACACACCCTGTCCAACATCAGAGCCATGCGGCCTTCACACCAGGATTTTATTTAAATATAATAACGATCTTGTTGTGACACGGTTCAGAGCTCCTGCTGCTGCTGTCCTCGGTGTGTCTGAGCCGCAGCTCCGCAGCGTTTTAACCCCCTGAGCTCAGAATGAAACAGGAACAGAAAAAAGTTCTTCGCTCCTGCTTCTTCGATTTGTCAAGTTTCTTTACGTCATTAACGGTGATGTCATTGCGTTGTCCCATTTTTAATTCACAATGTAGGTTTGGCTGTTTTTGAAATATAGGTACATACAGGGTAAAAGAAATCCACGAGTGACAACAGTTTAAAGAAAAACAGAAAAAGCCCCAGATTGTGCACCCGGGTACTCTCCTCCATCAGTTTGATGCTCTGTCATCCAGGGCTGAGGCAGTTTGAACATATTTACATAAAAAGTGAACATGCAGGTGAACTTTACTCTAATGTTCAGACTTGTTCCTTCCCACAGTCTTTCAGACGTGTTTGAAGTGGTCTTTGTGAGGCCATGACAGCTTCTTAGGGCTCCACACAGGGAGGGAGGGGCTGATGTTCCAGGCCACCACTGGAGCCCCGTCCTTGTGAATCCCAGCTCCAGAGGTCCTCAAGGAGGTGAAGGCCTTACTGATCCAGTTGTTCTTGGCATCCTGGAGGTCGTTGGCCAGAACTCCCTTCTGGTGCTCGAGGTCCTGGAAAACAAGACAAATCTGTTTAACTCTAATAGTTTTTTGCTTTTTGATTTTATGTGTCATAAACATAAACATCTTATGCAATAACAGCCTTTTAAAAAGATGCTTAAATAAAGATTGTTCAAAACTGTTAATAAAACTTGCATTACCACTATTCCACAACATTTTATGTAATGATTTCTTAACTTTCAAACCACGAGCTGGGGAAGATTCTTACTACTACCACCAAATTTCACTTCACCACTTGCTCTTGCCGAGATCGGATGCTTCTCCCATCCCTTCCCTCTCCGCTTTGCTTTGCTGCTCTGTCTGTCTGTGAAACTGCTTCTGAACCTCTCTCTACAAATATTCCGAACCATAATTATGGACTTTTTGATCAGTTGGTCCCTCAACTCAATTTACAACATTTCTTCAAAGAGAAGACAGGCTTTAGGTGAGCTGATTTGCCCTGTTGGCATGCACACAGCTGGATAGCTTATCGACTTGAGGACTTGATAATGTGTCTATCTCTGTTGCCATTTGTGGATTTTAAGGACGCATATTTAATTGGATTTACGATAACTGGTTCCTGCTTTTTGGTTTCAGCTGGTTGCTGGTTTTATCTACAATCAAGGAAGTCGTCGACAGCAAATTTGGACCCGGTCAGGTTGCTTGCCTTTATGATGGCTTGGTTCGTGCCTCGAGTACCCAGACTCAAATGCTTTGGGCAGAATGAATCAGATCTCAGGGATTTTACTCAGTCACGCTCCATCGGTGTAGCCATGAAATTTGGACATTTCGGAATTGAGTGGACCAACACAGACTCAAGGTAGATGTCATTAAGTTCTGCCTGTCCCCAAAATAACTGTGTGTTTATCTGAATTTGGCTCCCTTGTCTGGCCTTGAAGGTCATCTTATCTGAATTCGCTTGAAGGACATGTAATCAGACGCTCACCACACCCTCCCTGAAGAATTTCCAACTGATAACCAGATGAAACCAGCTGAATAAACTTTGTGTCTCGTAATAAACTCTCGTCGTCCCCCCCCCCCCCCCTGCAGAATGTCTATGTCACTATGTGCTTGTTTGTGCGAGGTGTTTTTTAATATCAGAGTTGTTTCTTCTCAGGCAGGAAGCAAAAGTCTGACAGGAATTTTTTCGCTTCCAACTCCTACATGTGTCCAGTTTCTCTACTTTTTGTCCGTCTAAACAGGTCTCACTTGTAAATGAGTCTTCAAGACTCAATGTGACTTATCTGTCTAAATAAAGATTGAATGAAAAAAAATTATAGCTCAATATCTGTAGATTTAAACGAGTTAAAGTCATCTTGGGGTTTGCTAAGGTTGACTAGCAGTAGCTAGTCTTGAATCAGGTGGACTCCAAAAGTTAATCAGTTGTTTTATGCAAGTTTTGCTGCTCATTGATAATAATAAGTAAAAGATCAAAACAACAAGTTTTTGTGAAAGGCCACATTCACATTCTGTCACGTTGCAGCTCCGTTTGTATTGTTTTCTAAACTTGCCTTCATCTCTGCCTCTTAATGAGAATGCTTCTGTTATCTGACAGCAGCGGTCCATGACGGACCCTTCAGACCGACTGGATTACCCGTTAGTAAAAGAAGAAGTCACAACAACTACAGCTAAAATTAACTTTTCTGCAATTTAGCCTCGTTTCCTGGAATCCAATATTGTGAGAGATGTGGTAAATTAAGCAACTACACTTCCTCAATCCAGTTTCTCATTTTTGTGCGGCAAGTACAATATTTCCATTCTTCTTCTTCTTCTTTTTCTTTCGGCTTTTCCCTCTTCAGGGGTCACCACAGTGAGTCATCCTCCTCCGTCTCACTCTGTCCTCACTCCAACTACCTCCATGTCCTCTCTAACTGCATCCATATTTCTCCTCTTTGTCTTTGTCCTGGCAGCTGCATTTCGAACATTCTTCTACCAATATACCCACTGTCCCTCCTCTGGACATGTACAAGCCACTGTCCCTCCTCTGGACATGTCAAAACCACTGCCCCTCCTCTGGACATGTACAAACCACTGTCCCTCCTCTGGACATGTCCAAACCACTGTCCCTCCTCTGGACATGTACAAACCACTGTCCCTCCTCTGGACATGTCAAAACCACTGCCCCTCCTCTGGACATGTCAAAACCACTGTCCTTCCTCTGGACATGTCCAAACCATCTCAATCTGGTCTCTCTAACTTTATCTCCCAGTTGTTCAACCTGTGCTGTACCTCTGATGATCTCATTTCTAATCTTATCCACCCTTGTCACTCAAGAAGAACCTCAACATTTTCATTTCTGAACTTCCAGTTCTGTCTCCTGTCTTTTTGTCCTTGTCTCTGTCTCCAGACCATACAACATAGCTGGTCTCACCAATGTCTTGTAAACTTTTCCTTTGACCTTTGCTGACACCCTTTTGTCACAAATCACTCCAGAAACTTTTCTCCATCCACTCCATCCTGCCTGGACTCTCTTCTTCACCTCTTTACCAAACTCCCCATTTTCCAGTGGACCCCAAGTCCTTGAAGTACCCCTTTTAAGCTCTACCTGATTAAATTTATTTACAATTCTTAGGACTGCAACATAATTTTAACATGATTCTCAACACATCCATGATCACACTGTAAAAAAAAACCCGGAGCATAAAATCTGTTAGACCTGAAAGAAACTGCCTGACTGTGACAAAACAGTTTTCTTTGAACGTGACTCAGGTGTTTGGTGACTGTGTGTCCATCTGATGGGCTGGTGTTACCTGGATCTTGCAATTGGCCTCCACCATTAGCAGCTTGGTCTGAGCCAGTTCCTGTTCCAGTTCCCTGATCTGGGCCTTCAGGGACTCCTTCTCCTGGTCCTCCCTTGTCCCTTCTTTCTGTGGAGGAGCTCCCTTGGCCTCCTCCCGGCCTTGTTCAGTCTCCTCTGCACCTTCAGTCTGCTCAGCGTTTTTAGAGGCATCATCTGCAGAGGCTGATTCTGTAACGTGGCCACAGCTGGGACAAGTCTTCATAGAGTTCTGGGAGGTGAAAAGTGATCACAAGAAGCAGAAAATTAAAGAGATTACTCTTTTTGCTCCTCATGTTGCATCTTGTTACTGTTTTTCTTTTACAATTTATACTTTTGTTGGATGTAACTGGGATCCCGAGTACACAATTTCATTCCACCACGTGCACCATATGTGGTGTGTACGACAAATAAAGAACCTTGAATCCTTGAATGTTGGCTTGTTGTTGGTGATGCAATAGACCTCACACATGAAAGATGACAAAGGGTTTTAAAAATGTTACCTTGAGTGCATCATCCAACCCGTTCCTGTGAGCAGCCTGCTGCCTCTCCAGACGTAGAGTGAGCTGAGAGCAGATATGAAGGAGACAACATCAGATCTGAACATCATTTAGCACCCCCCCCCCCCCCCACCACCACCACCACCACCACCACCACCTTCACCAATCAGGCCTGTGTTACACACAGATCTGTTTCAGTTCTGTCAGTGGCATCAACTACCTGTTTGTAGTCTGCAATGATACCAGAAGACTTCTTGATCTCCTGCTCAGTTCTCTCCAGCTCTCTTCGAAACACTTCCTTCAACTAGAAAAAGCATTAATGGAAGGAATGCATATCACCCGCCGCCTTTCATGACAGGGTTTATACTGAGACCAATTAATGATGAGAACGTTTCAGCTGCTTGAGTCTAAGCTTGTAAATAACGTTAGAACCAGTTCCATGACAGATGTGTTCGCTCTCAGCTTCCACACAAGTTCAGCTCAGCGTCTGTAAAATTGGCTGAGCTATTGCCCTTTATGTTTTTTTTGCTAAAGTTGATTAGCTGTGGAGGCCATCTTGGACTAGGTTGACTCCAGAACGCAGTCACTCGTAGATGCAAACACAACGTTTAGTTCTGAGAGTTTCATTCAAATCTGGGGTCATTTAGCTAACCTGACGACAAACATGCATTATCACACAGATTAAAACATTTACCATGCTAGCTTCTTCCTCTTTCCCTCTCTTCTCCTCTTCTGTAGCTTGCAGTTGCAGTTTGGTCTTTAGAAGCTCTTTGGTTAGTTCATCCACTCTGTCTTCTGCCTGAAAAACACAATGATTTACTTGTGAATTTCTTCTGGTCAGCCCTGGTCTCTTTCTGCTTGAGCTAGACCTTCAAAAATACTTGCACAATGGTCAATGGTAAGTGGACTGTACTTATATAGCACCTTTCTATCTTATCAAGACACTCAAAGCTCTTTACAACAATCTGTGCCTCATTTACCCATTCATACAGCACGCTACTAGATCTCTACAAAGCTAATAAAGCAAATCATTCTAAAGAGTCAATAAAG